AGAGAGAGAGAGAGAGAGAGAGAGAGCGAGAGAGAGAGAGAGAGAGAGAGAGGAAGAGATGGAAAAAGTAAAGGAGAGACTGTAACTTAGAGAGAACGAAGAGCCGGAAAAAAAATCGTGGCATCTATTAATAATGGAGTATTTCCAGCGCGGCGTGGCCACTGCCAAGAATTCGATTGGCCGTACCGCACGACTCGGGGGTCTCGGAAGCACGCGAGATTAACCAGTGCGAATCATCGCGGGATCAAACGACGACAATAGGTATGTACGAGCGTGGAATTCGATCGGGACGTCGAGGCTGTGGAAATTGGAAGCAGTCGGGTACGATTGTTTACGTCCGTCCAGAATGCCCGTTTGACGAACCCTGTACCCTGAGCACCGACGGTGACATTTGCTACGTATCCAAAAGTATCCGACGCGTAAATAGAGTTTATTGCAGGAAGTGACTCTCTTCTCTTCTATATACACAGAGTGGGTATAGTCTCGCCTGTGCGTCGCCTCGATCGGTAATTTAGCCAGTCACGCCTCAGGACGCCGATCGGGTACCCTTACGTGGTAGAGCCGACGATCCACCAACCTTTTCCACCGTAATATCCATCCCGTGTGTACTTCCCGTCCGTCTCCTCCCTGCCGGCCAAACTGCTCCTTGTATCGTTTGACTGCGGCAGGCAATTAGGTTCGACTATTTCCCAAAAGCGGAAGAGGAGTAAAAAGGAATGAAGGAGTCAGCCAGCCGACGGTGCCCTCGGGCTGTTTTCACGAGCGTCGTGCGGTGCCGATTCGCTCGTCGAGCAGCGGCTAATTAAATCGTAATGAATAAAGATAAGCGGATGATATTTATTGTCAGAGCTCATCCATACGGCGGGCATAGAGTCAGGCCTGGAATAGAGTTTCAGCAGGGTCACGTAACCGGCGTCGGTTTTCCCTGGTCCCTCGTCGACGAGCGTCCTCGGGTCATCGGTTGTTCGACTGATCGGCCGCTCGCTCGCTGCTGAGAATGCTTGTGCAGTACTGCGCTATAGAGAGACCTAGTCAAGTCCATGGAGCGTAGGATGGCTCCCTCCTGGGCCATCGGGATCCGGCTGCCGGCACGAAGCTACGACGCTAGGAGCAGGGATCGACGGAGAGGGTTACGAGGCGGGCCAGGTCGCTCGGGGAACGGGTCGACGGCGGTGAGGTGGAGCACCAGGAGGGACTGGTGCTGGGGGATGGGGGGGGAAAGAGGGACGGGAGTGAACGGGAGGAGGGGGCAGAGCTGCAGTCGGCGTCTTTGATCTCAGCCGCGGGCGCCGACAAAGCGTTCGTCCGCTCTCCTCTCTCGACGCGCGTGAGCGAGAGAGCGCGCGAGAGAGGGAGACACCAACGGGCGGGAGCCACGGAGGGAAGAGCTGCGAGAGAGGAATGAGAGGAAGCGAGAGAGACAAATGGTACGGGAGAACGGCTCGTTCTAGCGTGTTCCGTTGCCACTCCCTCGCGGCGTGCACCAACTTTGCTATTAATAAATAACGCTTGCGCTCCGCATCACAACTGAAACGTGTCTTAGCTGGGCACCCGGTTCCTCCCTGGACTCGTTCCCGTATCCAAACTTTGACATTCCCTGGACACGCGAAACGGAACGTCTATCAATTGTGATAGAAGGATATACAAGTACCCCACTAACAAGTAGTAGTGTATTTTTTTTCTAGCTACTTATACTCGTTATTTACACGTCGCGGCCTGCAGGATGTAGGCAGGATCGATCTTTGAAAAAAAATAGGAAATCGATTTAAAAAATATAATATGCCAAGTTAATACGTTCCGAGTGTAGTCTGGGTGGTGATCCTTACTACTGGTAGGTAGGCCGATTAAAATCGGCTCCTTAAGGACGTAGATCGGGGTCTGGAAGACCCTTCGACCTGTAGAAAGTAAATGGATTAACACGAGGTCGATCGCCTTACAGCGATGAAAGAAAGACTCGACTTTTACGACACTACACACTTGGTCCATGATCTTCTCTATGGGTATATATATATATATATATATACATAGATGCAGCAGCTATATACGCATTTCACGTGCCTCGTCGTAACGAAATGATAATGACCATCGTGATCCGACTTTTCTGGTTTTCAGCAAGAAATTACGTTACTGCTACTTTTCGTATCCGGTCTGGCTTCTTTGCGCTCTCTACTCTCTCCTTGCACTTTCCTGTCTTGTGCCACTGAAAAAAGTAGTCGTTTTACCTCATGAGAATCTTACCATCGTGTCGTACGGTACACACTCAGCTTTTTATATTCCTGATAAACGGTCTAGTCCACCTTTTATAACTTGCTGGTCTTCCTAGTCTTGGAATACTTCGATTGGGACTACATTCTTTTCTACGTCCTTCGAAGGAACGCCTTCGCTTCAGTAGCCACATGTTACGAAAGTCTACCGTGTATCGTCCTGTTATCTTATGCTTCTAGAATTTATTAGAAAATTTGTAGCAGCCACTTTTTGGATTTATCGATGAGTCGTTCTGGAAAGAAAAAGATTACAATCGATATGATTCAATTTTTTATGGTAGTTCACTTTAAACGATTTATTTGAGTAGCTATCACGAATCCACGCGAGCATGATAACATAGACTGTAGTACAATCGATAATCGGTAATAACAATCGAATAAGATTGATAACGGAAAAATATGGTGACGATAAGTAACAATCCTCACTTGTATTTGGACAGCGATATGTATTCCCAAGCATAAGCACTTTCGACCTTGAACGGTCGGCTGAGACCTTGTCCATGATTTCTCTCACGTCAGAGACGTTGATCGTTTCTCAAGATTATACGAATTGTCAGAATAAGATAGCGATAAAGGAATTGTATCTCTGTAAAAGTAAGCAGTGATATCAAAATATATTATTTCATCTTCAAAAAATTCTCTAATTGCTATTTATTTTTGCTAAATGCATTTTTCTGTTATTATTATTTAATTCAATTTAAAATATATATACTCAAGTATGCGTATACAAAAGTATTTACATAATTTTTTATACAAATTTTAACTGTTTCTATATCCTGCATATAAGTTTCTTGTGTAAATTCCAAAAAGCTAGATTTTACAGCTACTTGTATTACAATTTTACTGAGCTCCCTTATTCTAAATAAATAATTCAACTCGTCCATTTACCGCGTGCATATACACCATATATCTCATGCGTAGAACTCTTGAGTGAGTTATCGTCATTTCGTCGAATGTCGTGATGCTTTTCACAGTAAGAGTATACACGTAACAGCTTAACGGTAGTCTCTTGCATGATCGCATTCGTCTTTCTAAGCTTGTCATATGTGTAAACACATATCCAAATGGATACGCGTATGTAAAGGCTGTAACCTCTATTACGTACAATGAATACGTTATGTAGTTTCCTTAACCCGGACTCTATTTGGGGGAAAACAAATATTTATTAATACATCGTACAGTTAGTCAAGTTATGTAAAGAGATACAAACTGGAATATAATGGTGGTGCAATTGTTGAAATAAATTATTATATGCATTGCAAGAGAAGTTGGTGAATGAATGAGATTATTTGTAGCAAGATACTTACAGTGTTTTATAACAGGTTATTGCGTAGGTATTTTACTTTGTATATTGGATTTATACTGTAATTATATTTTTTATGTATTACCATAATATACAGTTTGATGACGTAACATGGTATACTGTTACAATTGTGGTTGACTCTTTGGTATATTATCGTCGGCTCATAATCATAGTTGCGTATGAACGCGTATGTAACGAACAGAACGGATGAATGAATCATTGAGAATGTTCTGGTGAATGAAATGCGTGAATAAATAGTACGCATGCAAATTTATGGATTAGAAGGTTGCCCGTAGATTAGTAATGGGAACGTACAGTGAATTGTAGAAAATTGGAATAATTACGTTCGGTTTGGTAACTACTGCCATATATTGGGAACTATGTGCACTAGGTGTGTCGATATTGCAGGGAATCAAAGGATCGACAGTAAATTACTAGATTGTGAGAAACTGGCGGGAGCAGGAAATGTTTAAGGGACTTTATTTCGTCAAGTTGGTATAGCCGTTTGAGCCGGGACGACATTTATCAGCTTCCGGCGACGGTTCTCTCTTTCAGCAGTGCAAGATGGCTGATCAGGTATGTGTACGATATTGACCGTTGTCAAAATGAAAGATTTGTATAATTATTGGTGTACTAATTAGAAATTAGTGATATAGCCGTGATTTCCGTTACGCGAGAAAAGTATTATAATAAAAGAGATACAGGTTTTTTATTCTGTTATTCGGTAAATCGTGATTTATGCCAACCACCCTACACGTGGGTTTCGCGTCTTCGCCTGTTGACTTTCTGGTTTATAATGTAACGTTAACGGAAAGTAATATAATTTATTTGTGAAATAATGTTAATGAATCTATCTATGGATGTTATTGAAGATTTGTTGATCTTACTTGAATTGTTATTACATTGTTTACCATCTGGAGTAAATTCGTTTATGCTTAGATGTAATTTTGGGTATGCGTGTATGGAAGTTGGAATTAGATTTAATTATTTTGCCTGTTCGCAGAACGAACGTTCGTTTCAAAAGCAACCGACGATCTTTCTTAACCGTAAGAAAGGTCTCGGACCGAAGCGACGAAAGCCTATGAGATACAGCCGCAACGTCGGCCTTGGCTTTAAAACTCCACGTGAGGTGAGCACAATTATCGAATTACATTAATATTTTTTTTTCTTTTGCCCAGACGGAAAGGGCGTTTCAGAAGCAACCCACTGTCTTCCTTAACAGGAAGTTGAACCAAAAAAAGAAGCCACTTCGCCATAGTCGTAATGTTGGTCTTGGTTTTAAGACCCCTCGTGAGGTTTGTTTCAGAAATATAAAAAAAACCGGGATGGTGATCTGCATTTTCTTAATCTTGGTGGTCTCGAACAACCTGGTGAATTGTTGGTGGTGGCTTATGTTTATATATAATATTGTGTCAATATTTTCAGAATATATTATGATGAAGTTGAAAGACTTGTCAAGCATTTTTAAGAACTTTTCAGTTCAAGGGGCTTAATTTTTGTTGCATTCTTGTTTAGAGAATTATATTTATTGTATATTTCTGGGAAAATATGCTTGACATATCTATAATATGTTTACAGGACTGTCTAGTAGGATTTTGTATAATATATTAAATATTTTTCAGCATTAACAACTAATCATGGTGCATGTCATAAAATTTTTATGTTAAGATATCTGGTTTATAGATACTGTATTATATCATAACTTTTTCCATATACTGGTATTAAAAGTATGTCTTCAGACATAACATTTAACAAATAATATAATTTATAAAATTGAGTAGAAAATTAACCACAATTGGCTATGATAAAATCAGATAAGATGACAAATCTTTTGGTGAAAATATGAATTTGGGAATTTTGCAATTAATAGAAAAATTTGTATTCTATACATATCAAGCTATTGTATTGTCCACTTGTAATTTTAAATGTATGTGGGATAGTTTATATTGCTATTGTACTGTCCTTGCCATAAGAAAAACTTTTACGCTGTTTAATAGTGATCTACTAATAACCAATCAATTTCTCCAATCAGGCTATTGAGGGAACCTACATCGACAAGAAATGTCCATTTACTGGAAATGTATCAATCAGAGGCCGCATCCTTACGGGTGTTGTGCAGAAAATGAAGATGCAGCGTACAATTGTAATTCGCAGGGATTACCTTCATTACATACGGAAATACAACCGTTTTGAAAAACGTCACCGTAACATGAGTGTTCACCTGAGTCCATGCTTCAGGTTAGTACCTATTATCACATCAAAAGAAGTATTAATTATCTTGCTTCAATGATGATATTGACGACGGTCTTCTGAATACAAATTGAAGACACATTCGTCCACTGAGCATAATTTATATAAATTTCGTATAAAAACATTTATTGTCTCAATGATTGCTATGATTATATTTTGACTTGTTTTTATATTAAACAGAGATGTTGAGATCGGAGACGTAGTGACCATCGGTGAGTGTCGACCACTCAGCAAGACTGTCAGGTTCAACGTTCTTAAAGTCTCTAAGGGTACCGGATCGAAAAAAAGCTTCAAGAAGTTTTAGGCGCTGTCAATTTTCAATATCTGGTAAGCATTTGCAGTTGATATTTATTACGTTGCATATATACGTTTGAAATTAATAATTTAAATGATGAGTTTGACGACGGTCTTCTGAATACAAGTTGAACGACGTATATCGTCTACTGAATACTTAGAAAACTAATGTTTTTTCTAATATTCAAAGTTATTAAATTTTTCCGATTACAATTAAATGTATTATCATGCAAACGTCTATTGTCACAGGGTGGGAGCAGCTATTGAAGGACGACGAAAGTGATGACACCAATCAATAATTGTTACCATTCGGAGAATGCAATTAAACTGATGTAAAACCAGTAAATGTATTAAATAAATCATTTACATGTGAGTTCCTTACAGTATTATTTATTGAAATTTTATTGAAAACAGGGACTAAATAATCCTCACTTAATATCCATTCGGATAACCATTTGAAAACAAACTGTTAATATCATTAGACGATGGACAAAGAGGGCTAAATAATCCTTTTTGACCGTTCATTTGTTTGCAATTAACATCATCCTTAACTATCCTTACAACTCTCTGTGGCAATGTATTTAATATTTTTTTATATTCTCCATAACGAGAATGTGCTTTTCGACCAACTGCTTTCTCAGTACTTTCCACGGAACGTACAACTTTTCCTTCTGTCGTTGTCGACCATCCATAATTAAGATCCACCGAACCTTCTGTTGTAGTTAATCGTGCCAATCTCAGTATATCGGCATTTCCTCGTTTCTCATTGAGAATTTGACTTCTGAATAGAGGTGAATAATCAAAAAACTCTTTATCACCTAACGTGATCTGTTTAGTAGTGTCGAAGGATCGTTTGAAGTACTCATTCCCCACAGTATTTGCTTGATGTTTCTGAGGATTCCTGTTAAAGTCTCGTAATTGATCTTCATTGGGCTCATGCAGTATAATACCAGATTCACCTTTATTCATTTCTCGTTTTAAACAATCCTGATAGACTTTCCAGTTATCTGCTATCTGAGGCAGGGCATTTACTCTTAGGAAATTACAGTTTGCATGCGCCTGTTGCAGCACGTCATCCCCATGAGGCTTGGGCTTATTCCAGGTATAGGATTGTTCAAAGTTTTCAAAATTGTCCATGGTCCTAGGTTCCTTGTGTAAAACGTTAACACGTTCACTTCTTACTCCGTTGATGGGGTGTTGTTGTATGGATGGTGGTAAGTATCTCAAATCAGTAGGAAGTCCTTGATAGTAATTATAAAATGGTAGATTCATGTCATTGCTACTACTGGTAGCTACTTTTGTATTGTAAAATGTCCCAGGATCTTCAATGGCGTATGGATCTTCATTTTCACGCAGAGCATCCACTACCCTGCGATTTTGTGTCTGATACATGTTGTAACGTTGCGGCAGTGCATTACAATGCTTAGAAGAAAATTCGCATGTATTATAATGGAATTAAATACTAATTAACAGTCTACATTCAGGCGCGTTTATAATAATATGACTTACCAGTCGCAGAAGAAAATCAAGAACATAGAAAATGTGCAGAAACATTATTGCTTTCTGCAGAACCCATTCCATTACACTTCTTTATACCTTCTGCATAGCCATTCGAAAGTCATTTCGGCTTTCATTACCTCAAATTAACGTTGAGTAATTAATGGACGGAGTACAGGCATTCCTTGCTCTGTATAAGTAACATTTGTAAAACCATATTAACGACCTACCAACTCCTGTGAGAAAATGAATTATTTTTAAATTACAACGTTTCAGCTGCTACAGTACATAATATAAAATAGTAATGATTATCATTGATAATGATGCATATTTGTATGATGAATAATCTATTTAAAGAGGCACGGTATAATGTTGAAGAAGTTTGATTATTTATTGACAAACGCGATACAATATTGCATTATCATGTAGTTTTGTATATTCGTATCTCTATCGATTAAATTATCTAATTTATTTTACTGTGGTTAATACTATTACGAGGTGTATCAATTATTACTGTAGTAGCATCTGATATGATGCTAAAATTCGAAACTTTTACTTTACTCGAAGTTGTCGGTTTGTGAGTTGTTAATTTATTGATGGACGGAGGATGTGAATTGTGATGGGGTTTCTCTTTTATGGATTTCTTCGCTGTTCCGTTTATATGTTTGTTCATGGATAGATCGTTAGCTTTTTTCAAAGACTTGTGTTTTATACGCATGATATTCTTGGCGTGGGTCTTCTTCGGTGGTTTCCATGTAACGTCCGTCGAAGTTGACGAGTTGTTAGGAATTACGAAACGCTTTTGACGATGCGGAGACCTAATACGGAAGATATTTGTTATATTGATATACCAAACAATATTATGATCGTTTAGATATTGTAGCCTTTAATGTGTTTAATTACTTTATATCAAAATAATCACTACGGCCATATTTCGTGTTGAACACGCGTCTTGTGTCGTGTATCAAATTTTCAGTTGCAATATCATCCCAGTTTGGATTGATTCTTCTCAAAATCGTATGTGAGTACTTTTTTGGATACAACTTGTTCCCTGTTTGTATTCCTTTTATCTGACCCAGGTTTAATGCCTAATTATGTAATAGAGCCATTATTAAAAAACCGAAGCCATTGCTTTAGGTAATTCGAATTTTTACTTACCAGAAAGACAATGTTAATATATAATAAAATTACTGCTGAATGACCCATTGTGGCTTCTTTAGTATCGAATGTTGGAAATTCTTTGGTTCAGAGCATTTTATCCCCGTGCCAAAAGAGAAACAGACGCGGAATCTGTAAATTTGATAAACAAAACTTCACCTAGAATGTTCTAGTTGTAAATAAAAACGTTGTACTAATGTAATTTGTAAATATTTCTTTTGATTAAAAGTACACGTTGATAAGAACTTGGATATTTTGTGGGGTTTGCTTATGAAATGGATGGAATGCGCGATATCAGCAACTCTACTTTTACTGGGAGTAATATATTAGACGAGTATTGAGATTTATAGGTGTATTGAGGAGTGTAAAATATTTTTTAATATTTAAAACAACATAGGGAATGATGGAAGGTGAGTAATACAAGATATGAATAAATATTTGAAAATATATTTTCTTCTACTATAACTTTCAGCAAACGAACGCTGTTCACTGTATAAAAATATATGTATACATTCTAGGATACACGAATATTTGTAAAAACTTCCCAACAAATGTATTACGTTAATAAATATATCATTGTGATACATTAGAGATCAATATCCTCTCTAATATCAGCGCCTTATTCCATTAAATTAATTTTCAATAACGGTTCAGGAACGTTAAGGCACTTCGGTGTAAAATCTTATTTAGGAATACAATATTTCTTTGATACATTATAGATGTAATGCAATAGTACTCTGCATTACTGAATTGTCGGAATTGAAAAATTTTTGAAGTTTTTAAACCTTACGAAATAAAATCACTTTAAAAAAACGTAAGAGTTACACATAGTATTCGTCGTGATTCTGCATAACCATTGTTCTGAAAGGGAAAGCACACGAGGGCACTAGAATGCTCTGGCAGATATCACTATTATACAGAAAACTTTAATTTCTTATATCAGTGTCCTGCAGTTTCGTGATGTTTGAAAGAATACTCGGTTAAAAATAGAATATATATTATGGGTCCAGCAAAGCCTAAAAGTAATGAACATCCAACTAATTGAGGCCAGGACAGACCCCAGTCTGCTCCGGAACACTTAAATGTATCTGTAACATATGATTCAGGAGCATTTTCATGGTCAGCATCTGAACAATTCAGTAACTGATCATATTCTGATTCTTCTATTTCCACTAAGTCTCTGCGACTTGATTGTGACAATGGTTCACACACTGAATTTAATATAATATTGTTAATTTCTGTCTTTGGCGCTGGTAGAGGAGTTACAGGTGTAGTTATTAAATTTATTATTTGCTCCTCTCTTGATGTGCTTGGTCCATCCTCTGTTTTTATTAGCTCTCCAACTTCCACATTTCTATCATCACCATTCTGAGCTAAAGTTTCAGTAAGAATGGAGAATGGTTGTATAGGAACCTTTATCACTCTATGCGCATATATCTCGTTTTCCTTATGGATGTTGTTAATCCGTTTCAACTCTGATATCTGTATTGCAATCATGGATAACATTATGACAAAATGATCATTGTTAATGACGATACTGCACTTTTCGTACAAATTACATATGTTTATTATAAACTTACCGTACATCTGTACTTTAAAGCCAATGCTTGCAAAGTGTCCTCTGGCTTTATCTGAATCTTTATCACCTCAACTTTACGTGGAGGAGAACTGGTATGAGTTTGTGGTTTAAGAGGTATATTTTCTTCATCTCCACTATTCTCATCATCCGAATACAAAAGGACATAATGTGGTGAACTTTCTCTCTGTCCACTACGTATGTACGCAGACTGCCTAAAATATTAACATTAGCCAGTTCATCAAAGTATATTTATTCACACGGTATATGTCATCCAATGAAAAATCTTACACTATTATCATATACAATATATTACAGTAACTTCTTAATTACAAAGTAATTGGAAAGTATTTGAATACTCATCTATAATCTGAACAATTATACATATACTCAAAGAAGTGACAAGTTCTTCATAAAAATGGTGAATCAGTTATAAAACAAAAAAGAAGCGCAGCAAATACCTTATATTCTTCTGCTCGTTTCCACTGTTTATTGATTTCTTCCGCATTTTATAATTCTTATCAGGAAAACATTTCACTTATCACACAACGGCCAATGTATTCTCGAGAAATTTATAGGGTACCAGATGTGGCCAACGCGGATGAAGTCTGACGAAGCCCGATGCGTTGATGATGAGTTCTTAAATCAGCGCCAGCACACTTGTGCAATATTTTCATGCGCGACTTGCCACACAAACAAAACGTGACGGAACTCCAGGAAGACATTTTATGTTCAGACAGTTCTATACATCGCGTACTCAGTGGCTTATTGCGACATGAAATTGTTGGTTATATATTTTGGTGTGTACCTTAACTGTTTTATAAACAAAAATATCGTAACAGCTTTTAACAATGATAGAATACGAAAATGAGAATGAAAGATTAAAGGACACGTCAAGATGTGCTGGTGTACGTGCTGACTTGAAAATGTGTTTACTTAAAAGTGACTGTTGTAAAGTAGTAAGAAACACAGTTAAATAACATTGACAACTCTAACACAATATATATTTACTTAAAAATATTCATTCTAGCACAAGCGTACACCCAGAGAATGCCTTCGTATAACTGATGGATCTGTTCCTGAAGAGTGCCAAGCATTGCGTGTTTCATTTTTTGAATGCAAGCGATCTCTTGTAAGTTTATACATATATATCTTGTATGGTTGTATTAATTATTATTGATTTATTAACTGATTTTTTATTTGTAGCTTGATGGCAGACGAAGATTTAGAGGACCAAAAGGGTATTGATAGAATCCTACGTAAATAAAAATAAATATAGAATATTTAAAAGCATCTACACATAACGCAAAGAAGTCATTCATCATATTCATTATATCAAGGATATATTTATAGTTTGATGACAACTAGTCCAATGTACTTTGTTCAGTAATAAAAGTATTTGCAGAATGTTGTTTCAAATGATTCATTTAGGAAAACATATGGGTAATGAATCAAAACAATAAAATGTTAGCTCTGATTTATTTGATGGTTTGTTGTATGTAATTTCCTTAATTATCTATATAATTATTGCCTATCGAAATGTCATAATCTGTCCTGTTAAAAAATCACAACAATGTGTTGTGAGAATCATAACAGTAATTATCTAAGTAAATAAGTGGCTTAAAGCTATCATGATAACATGCCAAGTTACCCTGAAGAATTATCATTCTACCCCACGTCGGTGGTATGCAAAGAGTAAGATTCTCAGTGACAGAATAACTTTGTCCAAGAATTATTCATATTGAAATTATTCATACTTAACGTTCCAATTATGCAATCACAGTTTGCGTTTAATCGTATATGTATGAACGTGTATCATACGTGATACACGCGATCACAGTACAATTGCAAGGCTGTCAGTGCTCTTGTTTCATGGTCAGTGAGTACAATGGTATCGTAAGAATATGACAAATTTTAATAAAAATCTATGTCATTAGTAACAAATTGCGCCTGCGCAATCGCCTAACTATATTGTCTCTCTGCAACAAGCGTATCAACTATTAATTTGTACTACCATGCAAACTCACCCTCTATAATATATATATATATGCATATATATTTCTAAACTCACCCTCATCGATAACTATAAACTTCTAATTATTAAAAGTCGCCTAATATTGCACAGCACTGGCATTGTTTCATTTCTCTTCTCGACAAAAATGTCTACCGGAATTACTATTATCAATATACAATCCTAGGCATCGAGGTATTGCGCGTTATAGGAAACGGCCGAAAGCCGATCTATTATTATTTAAAAGTTCAATAAGGTTAATCTATCGAGTCATACTTGATAGCAGCCTACTTAATGACTAAATTCATACTTCGAAATGAGTATCGAAGAAAAGTGTTTGACCGTGAGTACCTGTGTGCGGTGTATAGAGTCCATCTACGTCAATACATTTTTTGATAATTATCAAACAATGAAATCCTTAACAAATCATATTTGGCTTTCCATAGAGTCATGAAAATATATTTTAAAATAGAAAGTCAATATATTTCAGTGTAAGAGAACATGCCCGTGCATACTAGGTAACAAATATTTTATGTAAAACCATGTATGGCTTGCTTGAGAATTTCATTGTTTTCGATCTGTCAAAAAAGCACACTGAACTCGTAAACAGACCATATGTGTGTGATATATATTATTCGAAATCACAGCATTATCGAGTATGATATGTAATTCGTTATGTCGTGTAGTAAAAAATTTGCCATTTACCATTTTTGTTTTACAAAAGCTGGACCACGTGGCATCATTTTATCAGAGAGTAGGTAGGGGGGCGCGGTGTAAATTCGAAGTACAAATTCAACGTGATATGAATGACGTCCCACACGATTGGGAATTCCTTTGTGTAAAATCAGAAGCACACGGATGGCCTGTAAAGACCTGTGTAACCGCAAAGTCGTGCTCTCAGAGCCGGTAACAATATGGCGGCTGCTGAGAGGTTATCCTGAAGTTGAGAACATTCGCAGATCAACAGATACATCTTGTCTCCTTGAGACATGGACTTGTGTAAGGTGATACGTCTTAGACCAACAGATTTTGGCAGGTACCGGTATATCATACGAGCACCTAAAACATAAAAATATTAAAAATTAATTTTACATCACCTTCGAATAGTTCAAACATCAGCCGCAAGACTCACCGGTCCAGTAGAGCCAATTCTGTTCGAATTTTAATCCATCATCGCCCTCGAACACTTTGAAAATGGAAACGATGTATCCGGTGGACGGAATCGGCGGTCTCCCACCAGGTGGTTCTAAAGGCGGTCTCGCAATTGTTGCGACTTCGTTAAAAAGATCAAGAGTATGACTGGCGGCGTACCTCAGATCCCTTGGATCAAATTTCCTCAAGGCGGCGCACTGGACTTCATGATAAAAGTCAACAGGATCCGTGGACTGTTTATTTATCAAATAGTACGTGATGAATGGGAAATCGGCTGAGAAAAAGAGAAAATCATTTACCGGAAGTCTCCATAAGACAATTGTTACACGAGTGAGGCGTAAATAGATTTTAATTGACATTGTTGATATTTCCATAACCGTCAGGTATAAGTTACCTAACGTTATTGGCCAGTTACAAAAATTTATCTCACTCACCATTTCTCTCCATATTAGTCAACAGTATACTTTGCGAAGCGGACGGCGCAATTTCCGCAACCAATTCCGCAGCGGTGTCTCGCTGCAAAACCAAGGGTCGTGATAGCGGCGATTCGACCAGTGGATCGAGAGGCTCTAAGGGTGTCATGAAATGTGCCAAAACACACTGCTTCGGATCCTCCACCTCAAGAACCGATAATGGGCTGCCAGGTTTCTTCTTATCAGCGATAGGGGCGTGCTTGAGAAACAAAAGACACTCCATGACAGTTCCATGATACACTCCTGAGATAAAGTGGATATATATACATATGTACATCAGCAAATAAAGAGGATACCTCGTATCATCGACAAGTGAAGAAATGCATTACGAAATTGGATATTCCATTCGGCGAGTTTGGATGATTATATATTTTATCAAAGATTTATTTCAACTTTACTAAAGTACGTTAAATCTTATTCGCATAAAAAATTAAAGTTCTTTGAACTTAACTAAAAAGAGGTTCATCTGTATTCCTCATAGACTTGCAACAAGCTGGCAGACAGCCCTAAGGGAATCTAAGATTTATTAGTGCTGGAATAAAATTCAAGACTTACCGGCACTCCAGCGGGAAGAAATCGTTCCAAGGATGCGAGAGGAATGATAAAGCAGTCACGGTCGAGGGTAGCTAATGAAATTGGTTCTCCTCTTGGGGGGCTGTTTCCGGACACCACAAGAGGTGTATACGTTCCTGACGTTCGATTACCGCTGAATGATACCTGCGATCAGAAAGGTTGCTCAGGCTGAATCGTAGGCGATCGACCAACCACGTTTATACGATCGATCCTCGGCTGGCTGGTTAGCCGAGTATTGTCAAGGTCGTGAAAGTCTGTTGGAAGGGTGGCGGCGAAGGGCAGACATTGATGATTTATTCGAATGAACGTTACAAGGAAATTTTATTTGCTGGTACCATGTGTACTCTTACGAGTAACATTTAATGATTACAGCACTGTGAAAGTGGTTGAATGCCTCGTTGGATCATCAATGTTTTACAATGAACGTTTAACATCGAGGATTCTCGACGGCTCTTTTTGACATTAATAACGTCGTCTAAAATTCTTCTGAGAACGCAATAGAAAATTCGCGTTGCGTGATTCTTGCTATTCTTGTCACTTTACGTTTTCTGTTCTATCATATACGAAGTTGAGTGTTGCTACTTGTCAAGTTATGGTAAATTCCGGTGGTCGTTTTCAGGTTATCGTTTACTTGGTCGCACCTTTATCATTTGCCACGTGAAATTCCCAGTTCTATTCTCAAAGTTGTTTTATACTATAAAACCGAATACAATTACTATCCGAGTAAAGATCATTGATGATATAATTTGTGATTTTAATCTCTAGAGTTTTCAAGTTATTGGGCTCGACATGAATAAACTGAAAATATACGAAATAACAAGCCCATTGTCGAGTGTCTGAGATAGAAATTAGTGAGGTTAGTGAAATTAAAAAATGTAAAACTTCTCTTAAAATATAAAATACCTGTCGCGAAGCAGTCGGAGTTGGTGGTTCCGATGGTTCCTTGGGCTGATTGCCATTCTGTTTCCTTTTATTGATACTGGCAGATCCGCCGGCAGTGCCGCCACCCCATCTGATGAGAGGTCCGGAATTGCGTCGTGGTCCGGGGCCGAGTCGCTCGGTGAGCTCATCTGGCCCCGCACTGGTGGTTCCACCTGCGGGTGGTGACAGGAAGAGATGAGTGCGGTATGAGTGCGTCGGATGCTCCTCCATCGGGTAGTACCCGAATTCCCTGCTACGGCGCACAGGGCCGCGTACTCCAACGGTAGAGGCTCCGCGAACCCCTAAACGGGCCCCGCCGGCTCCGCAGGACCCAACGATACCTGGACTCACTCCGGTCCCGCACGAACCAACGCCCGCACGTTCGCCACCGGCACCCGGGCCCTTCTCACCCGCGAAGTTCTTGCGGAACATAAGATTCATGATTGAGGGCAGATTGGGGTACCAAGTTGGGTGAAGTAGTAGAGTGTGTGGTGCTCTTGTGTGAAGATCCTAGGACTGGCTCTCAGTCTCTCCCTAGCTCATTGAACGGCTGACAACCACAACAGAGACAATATGCCGGGTCAGGTACGATAGGAGTGCCTACGGTTATTAGCCAGGTCTTTGCCACTTCACGCATCCTCTGGTTACGCGCACTTTTCGTCTTGTGTAAGTGCTCATTACAAAACAGAGTCCAAACTCAAGTTCGGTTCAATCATCAGCCGGACACAAACACCATTGCGGACATAAGCGACATAGGAAACTGCTGGATACGTGGGATACATTTATCATTCACTCCTCCTGCTCCTTTCGCCCTCACCTTCATGTATCCTTAAGACCACCCTTCTTTACATCTGCGCATATCCATCTTCACCCTCCTCCACCGACCCTTTTACTTTCCCTCTTATAGATCTATGTCCTTTGCTCTCACTTAACCCCTTTGCTCCCTCTCACTTTCATTCTCAACACACAGGAAATCGTGTATCGTAGTTTTTGGCTACTCTTCAAATTTCTCTCTTTCTTTCTCATTCTCTCTTATTATCCCGTCCGAAGAGAGATCTCAAGGATTCATGAACTGAGCGTATCACCGATAATTAAGAATCTTCAAGTTAGTCATGCCACACATGTCTATTACTGCACTTCCTGGATCATTACTGATTTTGACACTGCTGCTGTTCGCTAGTTTTGACGAGACAAGCCGTTAAAGAAAATTAAGGATCAAACGTCAATAGCGAGTCGACGTACCACAGGGGACTGTTTGGTTGGCACAGAAACGCGACATTAATAGCAAAAAGCTTTTACGATTGATCTTGTGCTGAACAACTGTTGCGACAAAGCACTGCGGAACCTTCCTTCCCGTTAGTCAATCATGAACAATGTAGACCAATATAGTATTGCACGAGTCAACCGGCAGGAGATGGCACAGAGTAGCCACGAATAACTCGTCCTGTCACTTTGATCGTTCGATCGGTATTACAGTGACGCGTGCCGAAGCCTCCACCAGTTCTACGTGTTTCGCCCGAGGAACGCATCGGCACGCGAGTCCGAGTACCAAATTATTCCAACGAGCCAATTGCGGATGGATAGCAGAGGGCGCATTGTTAGTGATATTCACGATGATATGCACGAATAATATAAATATTTCTCGCGAAGAAAAGCTTGTGGAACTCAGCCAAAGGAAGCAACGCGCGTCAAACTGTCTAGCAGTGTAAAGTCAGCCGTAGAAAAAAGAATTCATAAGAACCGTACGTGGGAGAATATGGGACCAATTTTGACTCGTGCACTTGGACCTGAAATGTTGGCAACGCGTACGCGCACGTGTCCGGAGATCGATACGTATTGAAATATTCACGGACAACCTATCTCACGCGATCGCTTTCCGTGTCAGCTTGGAGGCCTTTGCAGCTGTTTCCTGGAGTCCTTAGGTCACGGGACATCCATCCAAGAAGTGTCCCCTCGGTCACGAAAACTTTCAAAATGGATCCGATAGACCGTTTGTAATACGCGTGAACTTTTCGTTATGTTCCTTTGATGACGAGTGTCCTTTCAACTCTCGTTGAATGTACCGTAATAAAAGTCGAGAGTGGAGTGTTGGAAGTGTATAGAGTGTTGGCGGTTTGTTATACGCGTCTTGCTAAGTCCAGACGAAAAGTGAGCGTAACGCGAAATGCGGCAGCTTGAACGAGCGGCACCCCCGCACTGGGCGGCGAAACTCCGTCGCGACGCTCCCAAGCTGGTGGGTGGGGGTGCGCCGGGCCTACTCAGGGCTGTAGTCAGGTCTACGTCGTTACACGTTATCTTGGCTACCGTGTGAAAGCTTTCGCTCTGATAAGGGGATATTGACAGTGATTAATTAATCTCTTGATCCTATAACGATTTTATATATGTTCGACTGTACTTTTTTGTAGTTGCTTTTAGACAAGTCTCTTGTGCTTTGCCCAAGTTTCCCGTGACCTTCGGCACCTTTTTACTTAAATGGGACGAGAAGGTGACATTTGAGACGCTAGGGATAACTGTGAGAAATGTGGTGAGATCGATAAGAAATTCTGCAGATGGACACACCTCGCTTTTCTTTTGGTAATTTCAAAGTTGCTTTAATTATTTTTGAATACGATAAAAAATTGTACGACCTTTCTTTTCTTATGGAAATCGTAAAAATTGTGGTTTTTGGCAAATCGATGAGAATTTTGTTTTACTTTACGATCGAGTGACGATATAAACGGTTGATGGGATATAAATTGTGGTCGATTTGTTTACTTTCTGTAATTGCGTAACGCGATGGTATTTTTGGATCGGGACTTTTTTTATTGTAAATTAATGGGAATGACGTCGGTTCACGGAATCCGTGAGTCACTCGACTAAAATTCTTCAGGTACCGTTGAAATTTAAACAGAGAACATGGATTTGAATTGCCACTTTGAGCTTTTCTACGACGCTGGCCAAATTGAAGCTTAAATGATTTATTTTCAAGGGAAATGTAAATGCGATGTATTTACGCGGTAAGACATTGGCAACTTACTTGGCAGCTGTTTCAAAACTATACTTATCGAATGTATTAATAGACGCTGGCGATACTGTCGTTGTTATTAATACTTCAAGGTGTTTACGGTAACGAACGTTGGGCAATGGACACTACCGATTTCGAGAATTGCGTTTTTTGGTATTTTGAAAGAAAAAAAAAAGAAAATAAATTCCTCTTGAACAAATTTATTTTTCGAGGTGACATTTTTTTACTCTCACCCTGGTGGCCGTCCGTCGAACTTTTACCATTCAACGCTTTCGACCACCCAACTACAGCCAATTGTAAAACAAAAAATACATTTAAAATTCACGCAGGTTTTTGTAACTATTTACTATTATCTTTCTTTTCAATAAAAGTTTTTTAACTCCTATTTTATGATACAACCGATCTTAGCGTCCATGAATATTAAGCCTGCAGCGTCAATTAAGGCAAAACGTCCACGGCCTGTCTATACGAGGCTTGGCATAGCTCACCTATCCAACGATCATGAAATTGATAAGTTATTTATTCAAGAACGTGGTCTATAATATCAAGCTATACGCAGTAACTTGCAGCACGGGATACACGATACGCAAATACATGGACAAACCAGTATGAAATATTATGGGATCTTACGACGTTGAAATTTATAGGAATAACTATACCGGTAATACAATATGGGTAATACATATGAACGAATTCACGTTCAACCCTAGGGTAATATTTTAGCAAGAATATTTTTATAGTACCCCTGGTTGACATCACCAAACCAGATGCGACTACATATTGTATACAAGAAGATACATAGTAAAATTTATAGTCTCAAGAAAAACGTTTCTTTGATACGTATATCGCAGCTCTAGTAAAACCTGATACACGTACCAGCAACGGACTGTAAAGTAACGTGAGGATTTTCAAGCTTCAAAGCATAAAGAGATCCGAGTTTTTTTAATTTAAAAAAGTTTTGAAAAAGTCGACAAAAAATTTTATACAAAATTTAACTGGCTCGAGTAAATTTTTCATTTTCTCTCTTGAATTACTCTTATGACAATTGATTTCGATGTAATTGCATTTCTTGCTTTAAGTATTATTTAGCTGTTATGTGTGTATATATATATATACTATACATCAAAGAACTTGTCCTTCACGAATGCTAGGAAGTCGATCGCTCTCATATCGTAGATTGTCTATTTCCAGTATCTGTTATGTCTAACGTTATCGCACACCTACATTCTACCCTGTCTAAATAAATACACGTCGTGTCGAAAGATCACACTTTTATCTCGACCAAGATCCTCCGTGGAAAATTTATTACGTAAAGTGCTGTAAGCACGTCAAATTTCGCGTGACCATCGTTATGCTCTGTAGAAACGTGAATATGTGTATTTAATATTCAATTTCCGTAACCCCCATCCTTGCAATGGAAGCTTTAAGTTTCTTGTAGCTAATTATGTCCACGGTTTACTGTAGTAATATAGCATCGATTGTATGTGCATTGGTGCCAAATTTATTTATGTAGTTACTTAGACAAGCTGGACTTTATCGATCAATTTTGAATGATTGTATCCCTATGTAATACCCCTTCTCCCTGTTGTCACGTTGTGGAAAGATTTAGAAAATTAAGAAAAAAATCAAAATTCAATTTGTTTACCTCGTTCATATCATAATTTTCGTACTACGTTTCTTCTCGTCATTAAGATTGAACCTTTTTCACATTTTCGTCCATCAATAATGGACCGTTAGAAATGTTCACTTTTAACTACCAGTCATACCAGAATCAACCGGTTGACCTTTTTGGGATGAAAAATGACATTTTTTCTTAACGATTAGTCGCGTTCGCACTTGCTATACTATTATACACAAAGTACTATGCTATTTCTTAATATACTAACAATACTTCTCGGTGACTGTTCGTTATACATTGTTTTTCTATGGCCTTTTATTCGTCTTACCACGAAGCTTCTCGCTCTGCCAAGGACAATGCATTAACATGCGATTAATATGCACAGGGAATAGCGCCAGCTCGTGTGATTAATGTCCTTCCGGCGCAATCGTTTCTACAGTTGGTTACGCACGGAAAACCTGAAATTTCTCTATTGCACAAGTTTCAATCAATCTTTTCACAAAATGCAGTCAAATGAACGAAAAGCCTTGAAATGTTTCAAAAAAACAAAAAAAAAAGATAAAATATTAATTTCTCTATGTCAGTGAAAAAAAAAATAATTTTTTTAATTATACATAATTTTTTTCTCTAGAAAACATTACTCACCCGTCTCATGTAAAGGGCATGGCATGTAACTGTAACGTTGATCTGCGTGCACGGTCGACTTGCCTTTATGTCCACTCTCCATTATCTCCCGTTTGGTCACGTATTGCAAAAGCGTGTCGTAGAAAAATCGCAAGGCCGCGTAAATTATTGTTGACGATTATTTGCACGATTCGTATCGAGGAACAAAGACGAAGATTCTCGTTCGAACTACGAGATAAACCAATCCGTGACCGTACCCAGCCATACCAACCGCAACATATCTTTGAAACGATCGAAAAAATCCACTTTGATTATATCCAACGTACGGATGCGCCTTTAGCCTCTGAACGAATACGTATACTTGGACTTCTGTGTCTATCTATTTCCGTGCCAATTAGACGCCGAACCTACAAGGAAGGGCAGCACTTAATTAGCACAAAAGTAATTGGCGGTCCGCACTTCGGACGGACGTGGAACAAAAGACAATAGCTACGGTACGTACTCCGTCCTTCTTAGCAACGATAGAGTAAGACTTAATGAAATTCTTAAACTAACCTCACTTTTTCTAATTGCTTCGACCAATCGACTTTAATTCACGATAAAGGATTCCTCTAGTACCTTTACGAGCTGGAACGTGTCATTGAAACGAAAATACCCAGCGATAGCATTCTGAATGGATCCCAAGTAACGGATGGAACTTCGGAACCGGATGTTACGTCAGAAAGTGGCGGCACGGTACGAATCTGACATTTTCCCCTGGATACGATACAAACAACCAAAGCGTACACACGATTGCGCTGTTAAAACGGGAAAGTCCAAGTCTAATGTACCGATTGAACAGCCGGGTTACCCGTTACACCCTGGGAATTTTCGTAGGCACGATAATTGACTTTTAATAATTTCCCGCGGTGATTTCATACGAAGAAAAATAAACTGACATATTTTTTTTTTCTTTCGAGCTAGTGAAAAATTTGGAAAACACGTCCTAATGACTTTTTTTTTAAATTGTGACAGCGTCCTTTCGTTCCTCGTGTGAACGTGGCTTCGCGACGCGTATATCTATATATACAAAAGTTTCTATAGAATCGGGTAGCAGAGCTTACGACGAGAGGAGAGACGCAAAGAAAAATTCTTTACGAAGTAACCAGTAGCCAGCGTGAGTCTCTACTGGACTCTGGGTTTACGTGAGGATGCTGCGGATGCAGAGGAAACTCTCTCCCGTTTCGCCGCAGCGCGTCGCGGCGCATTTCATCCCCCTTTTATCCCCTTTCGTCTACCACCTGCCCCTCGTCTCTCAATCGCCAACCCCCTTTACCGGTAACCCCTTAGCACCACCCTTATGGCCCACAAAACCCCCTACGCTCCGGGAACCTAACCTCCTCTCTATGTCGCAATGTATCCGCAGTCGGGACTATCCTGGGATCCTGTGTTTACTAGACGAACATCTAAGCGTAGCGAGCAAGACGTGAGATATCGTTACGAGATGGGAGATCAAGTAAGATCTTGCACGAGTTATCGGATAAAGTATTTCCAGAGTATGAAAATATTTATTTCCACGCTCCCTCACGCTATTCACAAAGTAATCCATGATACCATTTATTGTCATTGCTTTTAATTGGATTCAACATTTTTAATAACATAACCTAAAATTCACTTAATTTATCATTTATCATAATGATCTTTGGTATATATGCTCAAGGGCATTGTGGGTATTATGTGCAACGTAGCCATAAATTATTTCCATACTTTACATACCATCTAGTATATTGCTATTGGAAATAGTATTTACGTAATATACACATAGGAATGTTAAAAACGATATACTCTGTGTACCTGTGTAAATGAGGATTCGTGAGAAATGATAGTAAAGCTAAATCTTTTTGTTTCAGTGTAAGTCATTCCTTTCGGTATGCAGAGGGTACTTAAAAAAAGTTATTCAGCCTAGTTGTCGCGTAGGTCATGGTCACGAATATATTCTCAGAAGATTCTACGTTTATATACTTTATACGAATAGTTTGTACATGCAAGGGAGATATAACACTTTTATTATGCCTGTGGAAGACACTCTGGTTCTTATACAAAATTGTATTATACGAAACGAAGGGCTTGTATTTCAAAAACTTTGGTTATATAAAATAAGCATATACGTATATACTTTTCAAGTACAATCCATTGATTTGTTATTCACAATATATTTTCCTTTTGAGTTATTCCTCTTGAGAGGAAACGAGGGCCAATCTGAATTTGTTTTTTTCTCTTTTTACAGTAAAGCACTAAAAATATCCTGGTATTGCGCTACGCTCGAGCCTTACGAGAAAAGTTTCTCAGTGGTAATACAGAAAAATCGGGTCCAGACGTTACATGACAAAATCAATTTATAACATTGCTTTTCCTGACTGTACTTCGCTTATAGTAGCAGCAGTGATAATGATTTGATGAGAATATAGGATTTTATATTTTATTCAAGATTAATCTAAAATCTGAAATTGGTTCAATTAGACTTGAATAACATAAACGATATAGGTTTATTTAAAAAAAATTCTGTGAGTCCAGATATATAATTTTCTAACAAACTAAGGAAATCTCACATACGTTTGAGCAAATTTTTCGCTTTATTGATAATAGAGTTGATATTATTGTTATTATTAATATTAATACACTTCAATGTACGTACATATTATTATTGCGAAAGTGGATTGTAAATAATATTTTTTTGAGGTAAAAATACGTAGTTCTAAACATATATATGTACACGTATACACATGAGTATGCTGAGTTTCATGAATTGTAAAAGACTGTACAATAGTGTATAATTAATATTGCATCGTCGAATAACGACGAATCACTTGAATTAAAATTTTTTTCCCAATATACGGAAACTTGGCGTGATTTCTGGCAATCTGTATCAGTATTATCTGGCTCAATCAAAAATATTATATTTTATTAAGATATTCCTACCATAGCTAGAACGACCGATATCGATAGGTATTTGAACGTTTTAACAAATTTTTTTGACAATATACGATTATCGTGAATTTACGATTTTTGATTGTTCGATGTTTACAGGTATAGATATACGTAGATACAGGCAATAGGAGTACGCATACGTGCCGAGAGGAATATTCAAAGTTTGGTTTAGATTTGTATAATATTTAATAAATTTGAAATTTATCAATTTCACAGTTATATCATGAGATATTGACTTCGACTAATCGTTCGATCGAGTCCTTATTTTTATATCTCGATATTAGATAAATAATGATAACCGACAATCCGTCGAGTGCTTTTAAGCTACTTTACACTGTCTTTGTATCTATAAATATATACATAACTCATTGATTCGCCCCTGGGAAATTCATTAGCAGCTAATAATGACTATTGCGATATATGAAAATATATCCCTTATTGTTACATAAAGTTTTACGTCTCAGTTTCGCGAGACTAGACGATCGCACGTTCTTACACGTGGTTTACCAAGCACCTACGAGAAGCCATACTCGCGTATGACCATTGCGAAGCTTAGTTATATGATACACGTATATGGCAATCATTTTATTCTTATCATAAGAACCCTCGAAGATTTATATAAAAATATGCATTTATCTGATTTATGTAAAACAATCTTTACGTTTCATCGAAACTGGTAAAGTTTTTAAAAAATATACATATATACAGGGTGTTCCGAAACTACCTGACCCGGTGGGTATGGCGGTTTTCGCAGAATATAGTGAGACTCAGATTCATCAATAATGAGATTAGATTTAAGAAAAATAATCACGTGACGTTTTTCGGTTATCATGAATAAATTCGTACTGGAAAATCCTGTGTATTTAAGAACAGAGAAGTGATACTCGAATAAACTCCTGCAAGTATATACAGGGTATTCCGAAACTACCTGACCCGGTGGGTATGGCGGTGTTCGGGTGGCTTCACTGATCACGAAAATGACCTTCTTTTTGTCCGGAAGGTCACAGTTTTTAAATGGGAGCAGGTCAAAGTTGACCAATCAGAGGGAGGCGTCAAGAGAAACGTAGGCATCTGCGAACTCTGAGTTTTCTTCCCTCGCTTTTGTTTGTCGGTGGCTTGTTTCTTGTTTCTTGTTTCCAATAGGCATGAGAAACAAAAGCGAGGGAAGAAAACTCAGAGTTCGCAGGTGCCTACGTTTCTCTTGACGCCTCCCTCTGATTGGTCAACTTTGACCTGCTCCCATTTAAAAACTGTGACCTTCCGGACAAAAAGAAGGTCATTTTCGTGATCAGTGAAGCCACCCGAACACCGCCATACCCACCGGGTCAGGTAGTTTCGGAATACCCTGTATATACTTGCAGGAGTTTATTCGAGTATCACTTCTCTGTTCTTAAATACACAGGATTTTCCAGTACGAATTTATTCATGATAACCGAAAAACGTCACGTGATTATTTTTCTTAAATCTAATCTCATTATTGATGAATCTGAGTCTCACTATATTCTGTTTCGCATCGTAACAATTGTCTTTCGATAAGATTCCTTTTGTTTTAATTTGACATTTTCAAAGTTGACATATCCGTCTTGTGAAACTTTCGGAAATATGTCGTCGTATAAAATACGTATACGCGTGATACACATTTTGACAGGACAGGCACTGTAGTATAATCGTATGGTCGATAAAATATTTGAAAATCTCTTTGAGTTCCATGAGTACGCTGGTGGCTGGAGAGTGACTGTTGGTATCCTTAGTAGATTTGCTTACCATAAATTACTACTCGTTATATACATCGGACGAATGAATTTCGATGAAAATTCTGCATAACGCGTATCCTGGTGCGTACGCGATGCGTAGACGATCCGTTCCGCTTAGTAACAATGCTTTTGACTGTTATCAATCAGGATTTCGACACGTTCATGACCCTGTCTCTCTCCCTGTTTTTCTCCCACTGATTGATCCTGCCCAGAGGATAACATATGACTGCAGAAACGAAGATCAACGATCCGGAGAGATAAAAAGAAAAGTCGTAGTCACCGTTTGGGCCAATGAAAGCACCTGAGTCAAAATGATAAGCGATTGTAAATATTTCTTTGCATCACATAAGATCGAGAAATCTAATTAAGTACATAAGAATTATGACAGTCAATAAAATGCTTAGTAGGATCTAAGGTAATATCAGTTACATAATCATATGTGTACATATCTTACATAATCATATACGTATATGTATATCTTGTTTACCTGCAAGAGGTGCGCCAATGGTGGCAGCCACACCTTGAAAAAGTAATAGCAAACCAAATGCGTTGGTAAGTTTTTCCAGTCCCAAAAGATCCACCACGAGGATCGATCTCAGCGATACAAATACCGCTGTCAAAAAAGAATATCGATATTGCCCCACTCATGTAAATGCAACTAGCCAAGTTAATAATTATACTAAATAATTGTACTCACATATACTAAGGCCGAAACAGGCAGCATATAAGAATTGGTATTCCTGAGTAAGAGACTTGCCAGAAAACACAGTGGCCAGTCCTGCTATGCTAATAAATACATTATTGACAAGCAAAGCATTGACACCCGGAAAGCTGCTGATTATTCCACAAGCAACACGACCAATAGTGTTGCCAATCCCCACGACGGAAAGAAGAAACATTGTTTTAGACGGTTCCATACCAGCACTCTCAGCACGAGCTGTGACAAAAAGGAAGCCACATCAGTAAAACCAAGAGTATGATGACGGCGAAGGTGAGACTGATGAAAGGAAGATAAATTAATAAAATGAACCTTGCAAGTAAACAAACGGCGTATAAAATCCCATCATAGTCAAAGCACCGCTAGCGGCCAGTACCAGGAAGGTAGGACTTTTCAAAAGGCTAACGTCGAGCATCGTTGACAAAATTCTTCTGACGCTTTCCGGACACAGGTAGCAACTTCCGCTCTCTTCTTCCTCCATGTCCGTCGCCGTTGGCAAACGGGTCACTGACATGTGGTAGCCTACCGAGGATATCTGCAAGGATACATAATCAGGTTACAAAACGGGTCCTGTTGACTTTCACAGGTTTCCACTAACCAGTCTAATTGATTGCGGTAATTGCAATTTCGTAATGAGAAATCATCGCTTACTTGAGACTTGTAGTGGGGAAGTCTGTGCAATGAGCCACCGTAAAAAATATCATCCCTATAGAATGGCCTCTGGGTATCCTTGGTCATTGTATTGCGTCTGCTAGTTTTAAATGACTTTTGACTACTGTCAGAATTCCTCCTTGTTCTTCGTTCAGTGACAGTATGCCTGCGAATCTATGATAGTCATAAAGAATTACCAATCAATATCCAAAGCTGTAACGATTAGTGGCAGATGGTGCCTGTATAGCTGTAGCGATAAGTAATAATTACATAAATTAGTGTACGTAAATGAATAATAATTAATGAGTATCTGGAATTAGACGGGTGTGTGCTCTACGTGAAAACTTAATGGTTCGTCTAATCGATCCGTGTACTCACCGTGGGTATTCTTCCGTTCAGCCTCTCGAGGTCACCGCCAAGCAAATTATTCTCTTCCTCGACAGTCTTCAACTCCTGATCGTTCACTATGTCCAGTTCGGGATAAATCGGCACTGACAGTCTCTTCTCCGACTTGCTCAATTTCTTTTCCATCTTCTTGTCCACCTGCACCTTGTGCAGCGAGTGTAACGAGCGGCTGCTGTATTTACAAATTGAAAAGCGCAATTTTCAGGAACACGTGTTTAACATTTTTTTCGTGAGAATATAATTTACCGTTATTTCATTGATATTGTTTTTTTTTTTTTTTTTTTTTTTTTTTTTTTTTTTT